CTGGGTAGATAGTGTCAGAATCAAGTTGATTTCTGGAACAACTTGCTGTTGTCTGAGAATTGCTTCTTGGTGCTGGGAAACCTCTCTGCTTCAACACACACACACACACACACACACACACACACACACTGAAATTGGGTACAGAACCCAAAATAATTCATAAAATATCCATGTAGTTATGTGTTTTTATTTATTTATTTGTTTGTTTGTTTAGTTGATGTTTTAGAAACAGAGGCAAAAAACCCTTCATGCTAAAAAATGTCTTTGATGAAAAGAATTGCCAAAATGATTCATGCCACGGAACGCAGTTTTAGACGTCAGATAGGTAGTTTTTACCTAGAGTTTTCACTTGGGGAGGCTTTGGGATTGTGCCATGAATCTCCATTCTGGCTCGTTGCCTGAACAGCACGGGTGATAAGGACACAGCTGCATGTAAGCATTTGCTGTGTGAAAGGATAGAAAATGTAGGTACCGGCCCTTCCAGGGAGGCCTCATTGCTGTAGCAGTTTATCCCATTACTAGAGACGTGCCGTGCTGATATCCCACATTCAGCTGTTGACCGGCAGCGTGGCCCTCAGCTTTAATAGGGAGCATATGATCACTCCAGCTGGCAGGTGACACCATCTGGCAACGTTCCCCGGCAGCTCAACAAAAGATTTTCAAATATCAAAGCAAGGGGAAAGACCTTTGCCTTTTTTAAAAAAAGTGGTTTGACTGTGCATGCATTTTGCTCCCAAAAGAATTATTGCTTCTAACTTGCCGAATTCTGTGAAGGAAAGGGCACCCTCAGAGAATGAAATTAGCTCAAAAAATTTGTCAACTGCTCATTTACATTGATAAATAAATGGTAAGTTATAGAAAATTTAATTTTGTGTTTAAAAAGGACTGCAACTTGAATGTAGTTAAAGCTAGGAGAGGTTTGTTGGTTTTTTGTTTGTTTGTTTTTTAAAGATCCCATCTGAAAACATAGGCCTATAAGAAATTAGACTGGTTGGGTTATGAAAACATAAGTGTCTTAAATTTTATTGGAGAAAGGGACCTTAGTGGTCTTTTAGGAAAATGTAATTTCACCAGGTAGGG